AAAAGGGCAGCTCAAAGGACAAAGTAATGTGTGATAATGCAAAGACCAAAAGGGAAGAACATGTTCAACATTTATCAATTTGAAAGAACAGAAGAAAAAAATTCAAGCCTTGACTTGCAATATTGAAGGGTCATAACACCCTCGGAAACCCTGTACAGGGTTGCTATGGGTCGGACCCGACTCGATGGCACTTAACAACAACAACAATGGATAAAATGGAGTCCTGGTATGGAGATGTGGGTTAACTCTCTGGACTGCAAAGTCAGTTTGAACCTCTAGGTCAGCACTTCAAGCTTACCAGCTGCTCCTGAGAAACCCTATACAGAGTCACTATGGATTGGAACGAACTTGATGGCATGTAACAACAACAGAAACTTGGGCAAAATACTCAAAGATTCAAAAAGCCTAAAAAGAAGACAGAAGGAATACACAGTCACTGTACCAAAAGAATTGGTTGATGCTCAACTATTTCAAGAGGCAACATAAGATCCAGAATCGATGATACTGAACGAAGAAGCCCAAAGTGCACTGAAGGCACTGGCTAAAAAAAAAGCTCCAGGAAGTGATGCAAAACAAATTGGAATATTCAAAAAATTGATATATCACTGGAGGCACTCAGTTATCTATGCCAAGAAATCTGAAAAGCAGCTGCCTGGATAGCTGACTGGAAAAGGTCCATGGGTGTGCCCATTCCCAATACAGTAGACCTAACAGGATATGGAAATCATTGAACAATATCATTAATGTCACATGCAAGCAAACTTTTACTGGAAACAATTGAAAAATGGAGTACACTGTCATGGAGCTGTCTGACATTCAAGCCAGATTCAAAAGAAGACATGGAGCTAGTAGTGATATCATTGCTGATGTCAGTTTGTATCTTAGCTAAAAGCAGAGAATACAGGAAAGATATTTATTTATACTTTATTGACTATGCAAAGGCATTCAACTGTGCGGATCATAACAAACTACGAATAGTATTGCTAAGAATGGTCATTCCAGAATACTTCATTGTGCTCATGGGAAACCTATACATAGACCAAGAGGCAGTTATTAAACAGAACAAGGGGCTACTAAATGTTTAAAATCAGGAAACATGTGAATCAGAGTTGTGTCCTTTCACCATACATATTCAATCTGTATACTGAGTAAACAATCTGAGAAACTGGATTATATGAAGAAGAACATGGCATTGGGACTGGAGGAAGACTAACAACTGGTGATGTGCAGATAATACAATCTTTATGCTGGAAGGAAAGACAGTTTAAAATATTTACTGAAGAAGATCAAAGACTACAGTCTCCAGTATGGATTGTACCTAAATGTACAGAAAACAGAAATTGTCACCCCTGTTGTTGTGTGCCATCAAGTCGGTTCCGACCCATAGCGACCCTGTATAGGGTTTCCAATGAACTGCTGGTGAGCTTGAACTGCCAACCTTGCATTTCAAATGGGTTTGCAGTCTGGTGCCTTAGCCCACAGTGCCACACCAGGACTCCCGTCACCCCTAGATCCCCCTCCCCCAAAAAAACCCAGAACTCCCTGGTATGGCACTGTGGGTTGACTGCAAAGTCAGTTTGAATCACCAGGTTGGTGGTTCAAGCTCATCAGCCACTCCTTGAAAATTCTACACAGGGTCACTATGGATCAGAACCAACTCGACGGCACTTAACAACAGCAGCAGCAAGACCAATAAAGGACATAACAATCAATGGAGAAAAGTTATCTACAACCAATGCTCATGGAAGCATCAGTCAAGACATCAAAAGACGTAGTGCATTAGGCAAATGTGCTTCAAAAGACCTCTTGAAAGCACTGAAATTTGAGGATTTAGGTGCCCTTGACTCAAGTTATAGCATTTTTAATCACCTCATATACATGTGAAAGTTGGGTAATGATTAAGGAAATCATAGAACAATTGATGCATTTGAATTATAGTGTGGAGAAGAATATTCAAAGTACCAAGAACTGCTGGAAGAACAAACACATCTGTCTTGGATGAAGTACTGCTAGAATGCACCTTAGAAACAAGCATAGCAAGATTTTGCCTTTTATTCTTTGTACATTTTGTCAGGAGCAACTGGTCCCTGGAGAACATAATGGTTGGTGAATGGAGGGTCAGTGAAAAAGAGGGAGCCCCCTACAACAATGGGCTAAAACATAATAATTGTAAGGATGATGCAGAACAGAGCAGTTTTCATTCTGTTGTGCATAAGGTCACTGTGAGTTGGAACCGATTCAACAGCACATAACAATAGTATATGAATGGACTATAAGGCGTAGGTCAAAAACCGCTTTTTTGATGAAAATAAGACAATGTGACAAATGTAGGCCTATAAACAAGAATTAGAGATATAAGAGAAAGAGTGTGGAATTTAAAGTGGTAACGAATTTGAAGCCAAAAGAATTGAGTTCTTGTCTGGTTTTGACATTTACTTATGTTTGCTGGTGGTGGTGGTGGTACGTTGTGGAGTTGGTTCCAATCATAGCGACCCTGTTATTTGGTTTCTGAATCTGTAAATCTTTACAGGAGCAGAAAGCCTCATCTTTGACTCGTGGAATGGCTGGTAGTTTTGAACTGCTGACCTTGAGGTTATCAGCCTGACTTGTAACCACTACACTCCTAGAGCTCCTTGTTGATTATTAAGAGAAATAAATAGTGATAATAAAACATAACCACAGGGTCACTGTAAAAGTTAAATGAAATAATGTGTGAAAATGCACATAGGCAAACATTATAAAACAATAATATTTTATCTCAGCAGATATTAAACTACTCAAAACTGCAACTAATCTTTCTTATGCTTTGTGCTTATCACAATCCCATACTCACAGAAAACTTTCAAAACTGCTTGGTGAAAAAATAAATACCTAGAAACTACAAACCAAATGGTTGTTCTGATCGCATGCATATTTGTACAAAGCAGATTTTATAACATGCATATGCAAACTTTAAAAGATTTATGCTATAAAATAAAATAAAATTGAATTTAGATGTATATTTATCAATATGTTCACTCTAGACCTAAATATACAGGCACATTAGGTGTGTCCCCTGGTATCTGTAGAGGTTTGACTCTAGCACTCCACCCCACCAATATCCATAGATGTTCAAATCCTTTATATAAAATGGAGTTGTTGTTTGTAAGTGCTGCGGAGTTAATTATGACTCATATAGGGTTTACAAGGAGCAGCTGGTGGGTTTGAACTGCCAATCTTGTGGATCACAGTGTAGTGCTGATCCTATAGAACCATACCAATAGTAGTGTTTGCATATAATCTGAGCACATTTTTCCATATACTTTAAATCATTTAAGATTACTTATATTAACTAATGCAATGTAAATGCTATGCAAATAATACTTTATACTGTCTCTTAGCCTTTGAAGAATAGCTTTGATCATTTAATTGCTTTTTTCCCAAAAAATATTTTCCATGCAGGGTTGGTTAAATCCATGGATACAAAACCTGGGGATAAGAAGGGCCAACCGATAAATGGTTTAATAGTTCACATATATTATGAAACTAGAGAATGAAAGTGAAGTTTGATCTCTTAATGAAACCTATCACAATCAAAGCACCTGAGAATCACTGAAGGAAAACAAAATCCTATTTTGAATGATAATCTAACTTCATGAGTTAACTGCAGTGTGTTGCTATTTCTGCAAAATATTAGTCACACATGATCACTCTTTAGCAAACCTTCCTGAATGCAGCTTGAATTTTGTTTACAATGTAAGAATTTTACTATCAAACTCAGTGTTCTCACCTTGACAAGTTTGGAGGCCGGATCAGTTTTATATATAAAAACTCTATGAAGTTACCTGGGTCTGTAGAGGCAGTGATTTAGGTGTTTTGTTTGAACTCTTTTGGCCTGAATGAATATTCTCATCTGAGGGTCAAAATACAGAATAGATGTGTAAGCTCTCAATGACCATCTCTCTGGAAACCTAGAACAGAAAATATCAAAGGCCTTGATGATATAAAGGAAGTCACGACAACATTTCTTTGAAAAGAAATAAATGAGACTGTCAGGCTATGAAAGTTATTACTAGAAGCTTCAAAATCTTTTCTTCTAAAATGAACATTTAATTGACTAATGTTATCACAACACCAGCAAATACAGCACTCACATACTTCATTAAGTAGCTTTATGCAAAAACTGACATTTTCATTAGGATTGAATTTTTGTTGACAGCCAACCATCCCTAGTCAACATATCAACAAAAGAAAATACACTTTTAAAAAATTTTTATTGTGAATTGAATGAAGGTTTGCAGAGAGCATCATCAGTTTTGCGTTCAACAAACATTGACAGCAATCCTTTCCATGCAAAAACAGTTATCCCCCATCTTCCCTGTGGTACCATTCTCCTTCCCATTGCTTCTCAACTTTGTCTTCAGGTAAATGTTGCTGTTTTGATTTTGAATGATTGATATGCCATGGTAAGGATACCTTACTAGTGTTATTGCCCCCCCTCATGTACCTATCTGGTGTGGCACTGTGGGTTAATGCGCCAGACTGCAAAGCCATTTGAACTGCAAGGTCAGTAGTTCAAGCTCACCAGCTGCTCCTCAGAAACCCTATACAGAGTCGCTATAGGTCAGAACCGACTTGACGGCACTTCACAACAACAACAACAGCATAAACCTATCTACTGCTGGCTGTAAGTTGTGCCACAAGGGTGAGTTCCTTTACAGAAATTAGGAGTAGTTGAGGATCATAGTCTCCAGTTCCTCTGGTCTCTTTCTGACCAGTAAGCCAGGTCTTTTTCTTTTTTTCTTTTTTTTTTAGAAATAAATTTCTTGTTCTACAAGAACACATACTTTCCATTAAAGTGTTGACCAAACAGGACAAAATCTGATCAAATATACAAAACAATTTCCCTGCTTAAAACATAACAACAACAACAAAAAACTAGCCCCACATAAATAAAAAATATTTCCACTAATTTTTTAAGAATGAAAATATAATTTAAATGTTTCTTTAAAAAACATAAACAAGAAACAAAACTATTTCATAGTGCAATAAGCATTGAAATAAGTACAGACAGTTGAAGGGAGAATTCTGATGATTAGTGATAAATGAAAAAGAAGAGATAAAAATAAACCATGAGAAGACAATAAAATGGGAATACAAACAATGTAAATAGACTATGAAGAAAGCAATCATTTAAAAACTGCATGTTGCTGGGAAATCACTGTCACTGTGTATCAATTCCAGGGACATTCTCTACTCAAGTCCACTTATGAATTAAAAATTTCATCCAATTAGACACAATATGAAGATCAAATGTAAGGTCAGTCATGCTTATCTTTATTTCTGGATCTCAGAAAAGTCTCTGGGGTTTTAGAGAGCAGGGAGCAATAAACTCATGAGTTTTATAACAGACAAAGATGATATAAGGCCTGCCTAAGAAGGACTCCTCAGCTGGGATATGCCACTGCCAGTTACTCATTAAAAAAGGCCAGGACTCCAGGGAATTTACAAGAGTGAAGGTGATACCCATAAGAAATCTAAGGATTTCTTGGATTATAAATTTGTTCAGGCAGAATTTATTAATAAAGTCAGAAATTTCCTTTACTTGTTTAAAGGAAAATTATTTTAAAGTAAGTCTTGAGTAGAATTTTCCCAGGATAAATTGTATAAAAGTATCTAGTGCATGGCTATTATTCCATAAATAGTAATGCATTTTTAATATAAATAGAGGATGTCTGCTCTAGGGCATTAGTGCTGTTGTTAAGTGCCATGGAGTCAAGTAAAGACTCATAGCAACCCTGTATAGGATTTCTTAGGCAGTACATCTTTGCAGATGCAGAAAGCCTCATATTTCTCCCACAGAGTAGCTGGTAGGTTTGAACTGCCAACCTTGTGATTCACAGTTCAGTTGTTTATCCTGCACTAGGGAACGCTGCACTGCTGTTAAGTGCCGTTGAGTCCATTCCAACTCCTAGCGACCCTGTACAGGGTTTCTGGGGAGTGACTGGTGGGTTTGAACCACTAACCTTGTGGCTCAAACTGACCTTGTGGCCCAGTGCTTACTTAATCCATTCACATACAGTGCCATGCCAGGATTGCTATACTAGGTATGCTGTTGTTTTTGTTAAGTGCTGTTGAGTCAGTTCCAACTCAGATCAGCCCTGTATAGGGTTTCCAAGGAGCAACTGGTGGGTTTGAAGTGCTGACTTTATGGTTCACAGTCCAGTGTTGATCCTACAGTGCCACACCAGCACTAGGGCACAGTGCTGCATTACTGTGATGAACATTTAGCATACCACAATCAAGTAAATCTTCACCTGTTCAAAGGAAAAAAGTTACCTTGAGATTCTATTAATATTTTGAATCTCCTGATTTGAAATTTCTTTTAGAAATGGTAACTCTTTCTTTGACTCTTCACAATGATGAAGAATCTCTGTCATTTGAAGGTAAGAGAGTCAAAGGAATTCAAATCCAAGTTTGAGAACTTGAGATAAAGAAATGAAGATTGATGTGGTAAAGTACCACCAAGTCAATTCTGACTTACAGAGACCCAGTATAGGGTTTCCAAAGAGCAGCTGGTGGATTTGAACCACCTGCCTTGTGGTTAGCAGTCCAGTGCTGATCCTATAGTACCATGTAAACAAGATACAGATACAAAATAAGGGCTCAAATAGTATCTTTTGATAGTTCACTAGCTCGTTCAATAAATATTTATAGGTAAATACTCATAGTATAGGAATCTTCCCTGTTTATAGATAACATCTCTATTCAGAGATTCACTAGAAAAAGACCCATGGGACTTAACATATACATGCCCTCATGGAGGATATTGATTACAATAATGTATTTTAAGGATACATGAAGTGTCTTCAAAAAGTTCGTGGAAAATGTCATTAAAAGAAAATGGAAGGAGCGATGGCAAGATGGCAGACTAGACAGTAAGGCTATGCAGACCTTCTTTAACAAAGATAAGGAAAATCAAATGAAACAGATGCAGATGGTAGTCCTGGAACCCTGAACTTCAGATGAAAGGATAGGAAAGTAGATTGAATACTTACTAGGAGAGAAAACTGAAAAGAAACAGGTTGGTAACCTGTACTGACCAACCAGAGGCAGTGCAGTCATCTTAAACTTTTATGAGTGACTTCAGAGACAAAACAGCATGTTGCCTTTGCAGAACCATACCAGTAACTCACAGAGATAAACGTACAAATTTTGCTTGTTCCCCACACCCGTAGCAAAGCTTCTGCTTTCACAGCAGTCAAATAGCACAGAGGTGTGGAGTGCAGTTGTGAGCCCCATCAAAGTGACTGGGAAACTGTCTGCACCAACCCTGACATCTGGTTCAGGACAGCCATGCTCTAAACCTACAGAGCCAGACCTGGACTAAGCCTCACTAGGAGAAGCATCTGAAGAGATGCATTTGTTGTTAAGTGCCATGGAGTCGATTCCAACCCCATAGCGACCCTGTATAAGGTTTCTGAGGAGCAGCTGGTGAGCTTGAACTGCCGACCTTGCAGTTCAAATGGCTTTTCTGTCTGGCACATTAACCCACAGCGCCACAGAAGAGATGTATAGAAGGACAAAACAAGAAGGCTCAGACGAGCCCAACACACACCATCAATTTGAACTTTCTTGAGTGGCACTGAAGGCAAGAGGACAGTTGGTGGCACTGAAGAATAGTGCTTATTGGTGAAGAGAAAGGTGAGAATTTTTTCTTGTGCTCCACATTACCCAGGTGACAAGCAGCAGGAACAGCCCCAACCTACATACAATTCAAAGAAGCTCCTGTTCTCAGGTGTCAGAGGAACTTCAAAGGGAACAGAGAGGTAGCAGCACCAAGCTGCCACTTGGAATCAGGTGCAGCCTGCTTCAGACCTGCATAGTTGGCTCTGGCCAGTTCAGGACTAGCAGTACTTCTCACACTTGGCTGCCCTCTGGAATGGACTACCCTAATCCTCTGGCTGTTTTAGGATCTACACAAAGTACTTTCTGATTGGGTGTCCATCTAGCGCAGTGGTGCCACTATCTCATCCCTTACCCACCCAACATGAAAGGTCCTCGACTGGTAGGAAATCCCAAATTTTCTCTTCTTTGGGTCTGGCACATGTCCTGGTTTTTTTCTTTGATTGTTTTTGTTAGTTTTTTTTCTTTCTTCCCTTCTTCCTCTCTTTACCTATCCCTGCTTTTTATTATTTTAGCTGTGAAAGTTGGATAAAGAATAAGGAATACTGTACTAGAACTGATGTATTTGAGTTTTGGTATTAGAGATCAAAATTAAAAGTACCATGGAATGCCAGAAGAACATACAAATTTGTGTTGAAGAAGTACAGACAGAATGCTCCTTGGATACCAAGATGGCCAGACTTCGTTTCACATACTTGGACATGTTATCAGGAGGGACTAGTCCCTGGAGAAGGACATCATGCTTGGTTAAGTGGAGGATCCGTGAAAAAGAGGGAGCTACCCCAATGATATGGATTTGCACATAGGTAGCAACAAAGGGTTCAAGATTGACAATGATTGTGAGGTTGATGCAGGATAGGGCAGTGTTGTGTTCTGTTGTACATAAGGTTGCTTTGAGTTGGAACCTACTTGACAGCACCTAACAAGAGTGAACCATCTCAGCTTTTGTTTTTTCTTCTATGCTCTGCTTCTCATTCACAACTGCTGCTGTTTCTTTCACTTCAACAAAACAGCCTGGCACTGGTCTATGAAAGCTACATAGAGCAATGGAACATAATTGAGATCTCAGAAGTAAATCCATCCACATACAGTCAGATGATCTTTGACAAGAGGTCAAAGCACATCAAATGGAGAAGACAGATAGTGCTGGTGAAACTGGAAATCCATTTGCAGAAAAATTATGTCACACCATATACAAAAATAAATTCAGAGTGGATTAAGGATGTAAATGTAAAACCTAGAATTATAAAGACCATCAATACAAACAAACTTGGGGGTTCTGATA